TAATTTAGATGTTCTTCTATTTTTTTTTGTAATCGACTAACGATAATTTCGACTTATGTTCAAGGTTTTGGGTCAGAGCTCCGTCGCAACTCGATAAATTATTGTACTTATCATAAAACATTTTTGGCAATGGTTTATGATAAAACCATAGTTTCTTATTATTAATTGAAAAGTTTGCTTCGAGTTTTAAAGTGTTTTGAAACAATTGAATTAATGATCTCCCATATTTCATGTCTTAATTTGAAGATGTTTTTGAGCAAATATATTCACATAATGATAATAAAAAGGATGTTATAGACAAGCCGTTTTCCAAATGGATTTTTATTTATGGATTTGGATTTTTATTAATATTGTCTATAAATAATTAAATCAGTTTGCCTACCTACTATAATAATTTCTTAAATTTCGACTTACGCTTGAAGTCACGTAATGAATCCATGTCATAAGTCAACCAAAAATAGATTATGGATCATAGTTTCTTGTTGTTGATTCGAAAGTTGAATATGACACTGAAACTTTATTCATCTCACATATTTCACAACTTAATTTAATGATATTAGCAAATGGATTCACATAATGAGAAGTCATAAGGTATGTTAGAGAAATTCTTAAGTAAAATGGTGTTAATGAATTTTCAGATTTTTTTTTATGTTAATACTTGTAAAATCTGAATCAAACAATTAATTTTAAAGTTCTGCAATAAAAAAATCTAATGGAGACTAATTGTTAAACTGGCTTTGTTTTTTATCTGAAATTTAATGGACAATGCATATTTTGAAATACTAAAAGATAATTTATAAATTACCCAAAATTCTTGCTTTTTTACAAACCGATTCTTCCTATAAATAATTATATCAGATGGACATAAATCGAAAAGTAAACGTCTTCAAATTTTCTGTTTATAAAAGTTACCTACTATGACTCAATTATTGCAGCTTCGATCAGTCCGGATTCACCAGTCAGTTTGAAGTTGTCTAAATAACATAAACTTTAATTAAACAAAAAAAATATATATTCTAAAAAGTCTTACACAAAATGATTATACATAAATTATTGGTGATTTCTTTTATACAGTCAAATCTCTTTTTATACGATTTATTTTTGTATGCACAGTGGAAACTTGCTAAATGAGCACCTCACAAAACGAGCGTTTAGCTTAACGAGCATCTCACAAAACGAGTCTTCAGCTTAACGAGCACGTATATTACATTAGTTTATATTGGGACAATTGTTTCACTATACAAGTAAGAATCCGGAATTTTTGAAATAATTATGCTCGTTAAGCGTTCTTCGATTAGTCTAGTTTCAAACAGTTCGGTAAATCTAATTACCCACACAATTCGAAGTATAGCTACATTATTGTATGTGAAATGACTCGCTTAACGAGTGACGATGAGAAGAAAAGTCCTGGATTGCGCGCCTTCTACATCATTTTTAAAACTTGTGTACACATATTATATGTATTTCTGAATATGTTTCACTATACGAGTAAAAATCCAGATATTTTGGAACGGATTAAACTCGCTAAGCGAGGTTGCACTGTATTTGATTTTAACATAATATTTTCTTGGTTTATATTTATTTTTTATTTTATTTCTCACATAATTGTAAAGTTTTCCCATTAATAATCATTTACTAAGGAACAATTATAACATTCCATCACGATACTTAAGTCGATGAAATCATTGTTTATGTATAATTTACTAAATTTTTAATAATATTTGAGTTTTGATTAAATATTATTGAAATTTATATATTTATGAAATATAACGTGCACTGACAATGACATATCGAGAGAAAACAAAATTTAATTGCGGTTAGGAAAATCTATTATTGTGCATTTGGAAATACCACTCGAGCAAATAAACTATTTTTAAATGGAAATCTTCAATGAAGCCTCAGAAAATTATTGACGTCATGAGAGAGTAAATGTGAAATATATGTTTACACATTTGAATAACACAAAAATATGCTTCTTTTGTTGTTAAAAATGCAAAAAAAAACTGTTTTTTTGTGAATTATTCATAAATAAAATTTATTGTATAACAAGATACAGAGTATTTATAAGTATTATTACTTATTTACTTACTTTTACAAGTATATTACACTTGTTTAATAAATAATTGTAGGGTCAATTTCTGAATGCAATTTAATATCATTAATACAAGTAGATTATAAAATAATAGATTGACTTTTTCATTTGCTAAAGTGGAAAAAATGCTACAAATATATAATGATTACTAATGGAATTGGAAAGGACAAATGTATAACAAATGAGAATCTAAGAAAGAAACACTAAATTGGAAATAATGTACTCAACTTCTTTGTTTTATAGTGTTTCCAAAATGTTTCTATTACATTTTAATTGTCTTTAGACTTGTAAAAATATGTTTTAATTTTCCTATTACTTTTGATTATATTAAAGTGTGTCAATGTTATCCGACAAAAATAGTTAAAATACACTTCTTGGAAAAACACCGGACATAAGTTTAAATCACAGCGGAGATTTCCCCATAAAACTTAATAAGGTCAAATCTCGTCCTGAAACTTTACTTCGTTGTAGTAAAAGTGGAGACGGCCAACCATTCCTGTCCCATAGATCAGAGCTGCAAGATTTTAATTAAGTTTTGTGTGCAAAGTATATAGTGCCACGTCTTGGCTGCTAATCCTAATTAAAAATAGTTGATTATTATATTTCATATGCGGATGTATTTTAAAATCAAAGGAGTTTACAGTATGTTTGATGTAAGATTTCTTAACCTAAGGAGATTGACCTAAAAATAGGGCTGCTGTCACTTGCTTTATTAAATTTTAGTTTCGTCTTACGCAAACGTGTCGCAGCATGCCATGCTCAGGATTAAAGTGAGCGGCAGAAGAAAAACTAATGCCAATATTAAAATTGCTTTTTCAGAATGCGAAGAAATGTTTATATTGTCAAACTTTACGAACTTGAAATATGCTGTGAATATATCAATTTTAAATACTTTATTGATTTGTTTATGGTTTTATACTTCTTAATCTTGAGATTTTAGTCTCTCCAATGTTAACACTGAAAAGAGTATCCAAAAGTAATTTAAATATTGTAATACTTCTATGAGTTTAATTATAATGTAATTAACAATTAAAAAGGGCAACAATTGTATAGACCAGTGTTTCTTAACCTATGGGACGCGTATGTCAAAGCTTAGTAATTGGGTCGCATTACAACTACAGCTCAAGATCTTAGTACTTTCAATCATTTGTTCACAAAAATATTATTTTGTGTTAATAACGAAAATAGTGAACTAAAATCAATTAAAAAGCATTTAGAAATGGTTCAAGAAAATATACAAAGGTGATTTAAATATTATATTTTTTGTAATACTTCTATTATTATGTAACAAAAAGTTAATGAAAGTTAATAAATATCATAGACCAATGTTTCTCAATCTATAAGTCCCAGTATTAGGTTGCGTTATATTTTGAATGGTTCTCGAAATGACAGATGTCACCTTATGTCAAAGCGAGGATGCGGTAAAATACTTTTAGGAATTAGGTAGCATTACAATTACAAAGAACATCTTAAGATCTTAGTGTCTTTAATCATTTGTTCACAAAAATATAATGTTAATTACGAAAACATTAAACTAAAATAATTCAATATACAGGTATCCCTCAACATACGAACTAGTTCCGTTCGGGGTTGTTCGTATTTTAAACATTTAATAATATTCTTATTTTACCACACTTTATCATGATAGTACGTCTTCTAAAAATATTATATTTTATTAAAGAAATTATCAATTTTTGTTTGGACAGTTATTTTTTTGATCACTATAAATCTCCTTGTAATAAATTAGTGCTTTTAGAATTTTCTTCGTAAGTCCGGGAGTTCGTATTAAGTGGTCCATGAGGTCAAGAAGGTTGGCGATCGTTGGTATAGACGACACATGTTGAGATATCTTCATTCTTATTAACGTAAATAAAGTAAAATTTAATGTATAAACAAAGCAAAATATATATTAATGTTTACAACAATAAATAACTAACAAAAGTATTTTGAAATATGAATATTTTCAACAGAATTTATTGAATGAAAAATAAACATATTTCAACACCAATTACTTAGACTCTTTCATAAATTTAAACAGCCAACGTTCGTTTAAAATAATAAACAATGCGAATGCTTATTAAATATTTAATATAAAAAAGTATGCATGTTACAGCAACCTGTTATGAAAGGGAATTTAGCCGAGGAAAACTAATTAAAACTTATGCACAAAGACTAATCAGTTCACCACTAATTACTGAAAACTTCCACTGTAAGTTTCATAATTTCCTGTCCTCAGTTGTTGATCCCACTAACACACAAATAGCATAACTTCGAGAGTTCTTCTTTGAAAATACTTAATTGGAATAACTTGAATTAGTCATAAAGCAGAAAAGAAAAATATTTATATTATTTAAACAGTACATTTCGAAAAATAATCGCTATTTTGTTACATGTTTAAACAATAGTTGGCAGTTTTTTAAATTTGTTTTAATTGCGGAAACGTGTAAACTGTCACAAATGTGTGAATAGTTCTTATCTGTTAGTTGAGACTATTTATTCTGCGTTATTGTATAGAAATACAGCAATACCTCGCATAGTGCGGGTAATCGGTTGAATCCAAATTTATTTTTTTTTATTTTCAAACTGGCATATATGAATCCGCATTGTTCGAAGCCGCGGTATTGCTGTATATAAATGTTATAAATTATTATTAACACTAGGCATGTTCAAAAGATGGGATGTGTCTCATCGCTCCTCAAAGAGTTAAAAACGCGTTGAGGAATTCTTTGGAGTGAATTAAATAGGGAATATTTCTAAATGAAAATTTGATATATTTTTATATATGTTTTATTTGTATATACTAATAACATCCATTAATTATTAACGATTAATAACGTCCATCCAATTCAATAACACAAATAAAAAAATACATATATTAATAAATATAATATTCATAGAGAAGGTAATAAAATTTTCAAAATACTGATCACCTGGTAATAATTATCAACTTAAATGAGTCTTCAACAAAAAGAGAGAAAAAAATAAACAAAAACCAAACCAATAACAAAGACTTATACGCATCTAACTGCATGAGAACATTTGGTAATCTGAAGGCTAGGTTGAAATACTTAGAATCACTGTTTTGTTTTCCTTCTCTGGCAAATGCGAACTGTTCGTTCCGTAGTATCATTGAAGTTGTTAAATACGAGACGGCCTTGATGCTTAATAATCTTAATCGAAGCAGAGCGGTACCGAACTGAAGGGAAGAATGGGACTGGTCGTTTCGACGGTGAGTGCCGTGGCCATGGAAGAGCTGGCCGTTTCGAACTCGCCGAGCGATTCGAGGACCTTACCCAAATTGTACCTGCAAATAGGGAGCGATTGCAATTACGCAGTTCATCAAAGTGCTACACTGCACTTCGCTTACCATGTAATGTGATTGCTGGGATCGATTTTCGCCGCCTCGCGTAACGTCGTCTCCGCTAATCCCTGAAGCCCTAAATAATGGTAAACCAGACCCAACTGCTGCAGCGACTTCACGTGCTGCGGATTAATTGCGACCGCGTTCTGGAAGAATAACTTCGCGTCCGTCCACTCTTGTTTGTGCATGTGCAAAAGGCCTCTCTGATAAAACAAAATGCAGGTTAACGTTGTTTTGCAAGAATCGAATATTGATGATGCTCATTACCATGTGCAGAATGTGATGGGAGAGCGGGAATATCTGGGACGCCTCTTGTATGCACTTAAGTACATCGGCTGGTTGATCGACGGCTAAGTACAATTCGGCTAGTAAAAGCCACACCTCGAGGAGCAGCATGTATGATCTTTGGGGACCTGGACGGGGGCTGAAGCTGCTCACAGAACTTGCAACCTCGCTTAACGCTTGTTCGACCCTTGAAGCTGCTATGCTGTGTGCTTGCAGTGAACCTAAAGACAATATGAAAATAAAGCTTCTTTGTAAAAACAACAAACATCATTGTTTAGTTATCGCAGTCTTTGAAACATAATAGGGTTTTCGACAATGATTTTCAAATTGGGAGGTATCAAAATTTTCTCTGAAAAGTAGGCGTTCCAAACTTTATATTAAGTTTGGAAACTACTGCTATAAGAAACGCGTGGGCTTAAAAAAAAACCTATAATACATAAGTCAATTTTGTAATCATATCATTTTACGTCAATTACGTCAATATATATTGCTTCGTCATCTGAGATAACTTGTTTTATTTTTAATTATACATCATTTTGATAAAGCAAAAACTAGACTCCAGACAAAACTGGAAAAATGATACGTACAGATTAGAAATTGATGAAACCAAAACAAATTTCTAGTATAGATATCTTGAAGTAACGGGATTGGGATTGTTTAATTTCTTGTAGGATGTTATGTTAATTTCAAATGATTAGGTATAATAGAATCAAAAAAGAACTTACTGGAATCTTTGTCGGACATTTCCGATGTGTACAATTGGAAGACGGATCGTGTATCGGATTTGCGGTCGCATTCGGGAATATCGGAAGAAGTCTGACCTTCGTAGAGATTCTTCCACAGTTCGAGCATCTGTTTAGCAGTCACCAAGGCTCGCTGCAACCATATAAATAAATAAATACTCATAACTAAGATGAAGTTTTTTAATTAATTTAACGATATATTACCTCTCCGCCTTCTTCGTGCAACTCTAAATGCGCCCTAACATACATCAGGTTCAAACTATCCGGGTACTCCTCAATCGCAGCTTCCACCACTTCTAAAGCTTCTTCGTGCTTCCGGTTTGCAGATAACAGCAACGTCAACAAATGCAAAGTGGATGAGTTTTCCGGTTGCAAAGCCAAAGCCTCGCTGACTGTTGCCAAAGCTTCAGGAATGTGACCTGTAAGAGCCAGCTGCAGTCCCAGATAGTATTTGCATAGATGATCATTGGGTTCCAATTCAACAGACCTAAAAATATTAATGTTAATCCATCAAACATCATCAAAATACGGACAATTTACGTTTGAAAATTCGTGAGAGCTTTTTCGTTATATTCCTCCTTTGGTTGCTTGAGCATAGCAGCTCTAGCTTGCAGATGGTATCCAATTCCAACGTAAAGATGACACCTGCCGAGAAGTCCACTGGAGTATGCTAATTCTTTGGTTTTCGCTTGCAAGCTGAATTCGGTGCCGTCGAACGGACGGTTCAAATGCTCGTAACAAATTTTGGCGGCGAGAAGGCAATTCACGGAGGAGTTTTGTTCCAATTTGATCACCTCTTTCAGAACTACCAAGGCGTGCTCATAACGACCCATCGATATCAAACTCAGGGCGTGCTGTCGCCACAGATGCGGTTCTTCGAACGAAAACTTCATTGCTCGTTCCAGTGACTAGTGAAGAAAAACAGTATTAATTTGATTAAAAAAACATCTAGTTTGAAGTAGATAGTAGAGTAATAACATAGTAAAGCTGCAAGTTTGTATATAGTCCCACAACTCAATCTAAACACGTACAAAGTGTGAAATTCATTTAGCAACAATGATTAAATTGTTTATATTAGAAAATTAATTATGATTAAATTAGTTACAAGATAATTGAATCATTGTATTCAAATAGTCATTGTTATGTCATCAAGAAGTTCATTGCAGTTTTTTTTTTAATTTAGTACTATTGATTATATGTAATGTATTGAATTTCATATATTTTTTGAAGTTTTAGATAAAAGTTATGTATTTATTTCTAATACATATACATTTGTTAGGTTTCCGTTCTTCCTAATCATCGACCCTTCATGTAAATCATTAGTATCGATTGTGATGTTACAGAGGCCAAATCAGATGCATATGTTGATTGACAAAGCGCTTAAATGTTATAGTATGTTAGAAATTACCTCTTGCAGTAATGAGACTTGACCCCATCGAACAGTAGCCAAAGTGAGCAAGTCGTAAACGGAAGCTGCATCTTGGTAGGCGCTCAAACGAGCTTCCTTGAATTCCGGAGATTGCGACAAGACGGCGTTCCGCACTGCCATGGCTTCAGCCACCAACAGGACCAATATGGTCTCCTCGCAGTCCACCTTCGGAATGAACTGGAAAACAGTACGATAAAATCGACGACAGTGATAATGAAGCTACGCGTAAAATCGATAAATGCGAACCTGATTGATTCCATTATAGTGTTTCGGTTTCCAGAAGGAGTTCGGATGGGGCGGAGAGTTCAAAGGCGATTTGTAGTTCTCGGCCACGGAGCCCTGCAGCAGGAATTCGGCGAACTGGCACATCAACTTCAAACGCACCACGTTCGTCGTCTGGCATTCCACTGCGCTGAGCGACGCTCTATATCTATCCAGAGTCTCCACAAACTTGTTCTGCTGGATGAGCATCACAGGCGCCTGCTGCAACGCCTGCTCCAGTACCGGACTTAAATTCTTGTTGACAGCTGGTGGTTGGGGAGAATGAGTACCTGAGCATTTATTGGGAAGTTTTTCAAAACACTCTTCAAACAATTTCTAAAGATTATTAAATCCACACACATTGCATGCTAATTAAACGATTTTGTTAGTTTCAAGCTATACCTGTGTTTGTGAATGTTGCACTTTGCTGCTTGTCCAGTTCCTGCATGTACAACAGTGTCAAATCAGAGGCCAGTTCAAAACACTTATACATCTCTTCCTCCTTTTCTGCCTTCTTGTATTTGCTGGTAACACCAGAAGAATCCTTCTGCAAACACAACCCCTTGATGGCATAAGATTCAGCAACAATCTTCAAGCTTCGGCTAAAAAATAATAAATCAAGTTAAACTTTCAAGTTATTTATTATAATATGCTACTTACAGTGGGAGTTTCTTCTCGGATAAGGTGTGCAACTCAGCCAGCTTAAAACTCTTGAGGCCTTCATTGTAATTGCCGCATGCATAATACAGTTTTCCCAGCAACAAGTAAGCATCCAAAGCAACACCTGCTTTCTTGCCCATATCGTTGGCTGCAGCATTCAAGTATTTGCGGGCATCCATCAGACCCAACTTGGCCTTGTGTATGTTTGACTCTATGGGGGGCCATTCCTCCAAATAACTTTCTAGTCGGCCTTCGCCAACCAGAAAATCTGCCAAGAACTCTGAAACAGAAGCATATTACAACATGCTGCCAATAATAATCTGTGGAAGACTCACCACAATCTGGAGATTTGTCTTTCAAGGAGGTAGCTAGATCAATAACTTTAGCCCAATTAGCCTCCTCACGATTCTTCTCGATTTCCGTCTCGATCCGCACGGCCGTGTATTTCGTCCTCCCTGTCATCGTTCACAACAGTTTACAAATTGAGATTTCACTTGGCCAAAACTCGTTTCAATTTCAACAGCGTAATGAAAACATCGCTATGATCACACAATCCCCACACACATATATATATCTATTATATATCACAACAAACAGCTGACTCCGTTGACATGACAATAGTCGTTCAATGCCTTTCAGTAATTGTTTAAATTGAATTTCGAACAATTTATAAATGCATAAATTCATAGGAATTTAAGCGTTTTGTACAAATGCGTTACTTTCTGCCCTACTTAAATAGTACTAACAATACGTATAGGAAATACCAATGTGAAGTAGGCAACACACATCACATCTAAGAAAGTAATCTGACCTTTAAATTTACTGTAACAATTAAAACACTTCCTAGATGGAGGTGGTAGTTTTTCAAGAAAAAGATCCCTTAGTGCAGGGTTTCCCAAACTTTTCATACAACGGAATACTTCAAAAATCCTGAAATTTTCATAATCAATACAATTAAAAATAATGAGAAAAAAAAACATTCATTATTTATTTGGTAATTATTTCAATCCAGGTTTTAACCTATTAACTTTCCGCAGAACACAAAGTTTGAAGAATTGGCTTAATGAAATAATTAATTTTTACTTAAAAATTGTTTTAAAAAACTGTAAAAACTTATTGTTAATAGTCTTTTGCAATTGTTATTAACAATTTGATTTATCTATATGCATTACTATTATTTTGTATTGAATAATTATTGAAATTAAAGTCATAATATGTATATTTTGTAATTTTTCATAAAGGATATATATTATGTAAATAATAGTAAAATAAAGATTTTACGTTTTTTTGATTACAATATATGATATAGTAAAAAGAGAAAACCGCAGATTTCCTACTTAAGTTCAGATTGTTTTGTGGTTTCTGATATTTTCTAATCAAAGTCAGTATTAATTCAATTGTCATGCATTAATTATTATGTATAGTAAAAAAATATAATTTAACTTTTACATTTGCAATATTTTAATTTAGATGTAATATTTAATTGTTTCTTGATCATTTTTTTTAATACTAGTTAACATAAAAGAAAAGAATATATAAAAATTAAATATACTAAAACAAAAAACAATTTTTCTCTTAAATTTCTTTAATTTAGTTATGAGAAATTTTCGTAAGATGTAGTGGAAACTATTTCTTTTTCTTATTTTATTTTTTCGTTGACATTTGGACAGATGTATTATTTATATTGAAGCTATGTTTTTGAATTGATTCCATGAAAAATGAGCAAAAATATAATTAATCGTATTTTTATTAGTTAATTTAATAAACAAACAAAAATCCATACCATTTGTTTAATTATATGAATTATGTGGCCAAATTATATATTTTTTAATGGTAAATAAAGTGCAAAGTGCAGAGTGTTCAGTGCAGATAAATTGTTGGTCATCAAAGCCCGTTGCAATTATTCATGTGGTTTTTCTTTTAAATTTATAATTTATTGAGATTTTATGTTATTATTTATGGATTTTACAGTATAAATTGTATACAAAAATATAATAATTTGCATCACACCCTATTGAGTTGTTTTTCTAGCGTATTTTTTATACAAAATGTTCTGAATAAAAAACAAAGTTATTTGGTGGTTTGCTGCACTACAAAACGCACCATAAGATCTTTTGCGCTGAAAGCTGAGAGGTTGGTGGACAATTTGAAATTGCCTGAAAGTTGGCGAAAAGTTATGGAAATCGAATGTAAATCAAATATTTTTTAATAAATTCGTTATTAATAGATTTCTGTGTTTTTGTATACAAAGAACTAAAGTTGAATCAATTATGAAATTTTCATTTTGTGCAATGACCTTTCACCATCTTTCTGGCAACTTCATGATGCACTGAAACAAATGCGATTTCAGGTCATCATAATTAGTGAATATTTGAACATTTTGAAAACTTCGAAATTAATGGTAATCTGACCATCACTTCCCAATCAAACTCCAATAATTTTCCACGAGTTATCAAAGATGTTGGAGGATTTTCATTGTTTAGGTGAAACATGATTTGCAAATTCAAGCCAATATGGAGATTTTTAACGAATCCAAGACATTTAAGTTATTTTCATTTGTTGTGTATGATACATTTAAATCACACAGTGATTGCTCTCTGCAATCTCTTGCACAGTTATATGCTAATCCGATTTAACTATGATTTGGTCATCATAAACATCAGTAGATCGACCCAAATGTTGGTTAACTTTGTTTGAAAATTTTCCAAAAGCAATTCTGACACGTGTATTTCTGTTAAACATTCAATATCATAAACTTCCCATATAGCTTTATGAACATCAGCAGCTTTCTTGCCTTTAGGGACATAAAAAAGTAAAATTGACCATAAACTATCTGCGCAATTGGCTTCTAAACGAAGTTGAAAGTGACATCTTTCAAATGAAAAATGGAAAAAACAATGACAGAAGTCCTTCAAATTATCATAAATCCAAAATAACCCAATAATACATAATCTACAGGGTGGCCCAATTGAAATGTAATCAACTTAAAACTGCTATAATTTTCGAACCGTTGGCAATGGTGTTTCCATATTTCGCCTAATGATTTTCGCCTGATTTTATTGTTTACAAGCATGCGGAAGCATTTGCATCTCAGTTTTTTTTTGGAAAAAAGTTATTAGTGATGAAATTCATACGTAGTAGTTAGAGCCCTCGAACACCTTAATGTGAATAAATCTTTCGTGTCTTGAACCATAACCATAAGTTATAACGTAGCTAGTATTGTTACAAAATGCCATTTTGGTGGTCGGAGAAAAACTACCTACATTCGGAAAGTTAAGGCTCGAATTGAATGAAATCCGCGACGCAGTAGAAGTCAAATGGCTACTCAGCTGAACATATCGAAAATAACCATGCAACAAATACACAAAATCGAACTCAAACTGAAGCCTTACAAGTTCCAAAATGGACAAGATCGCACCGATGTTAAAAAAACTAGGCTCAATATAGCGAAGGAGCCGTTGCGCACGAACGCAGCCAATTGCCAAATATCGTCTTGTCTGGTGAGAAAAATATACCAATTGAGAAATTCGTAAACAAACAAAATGATCGAATTTAAATGACAGGTCAATCGGAAATTTAGACCTTTGAATGGCTACAAGAAGTCAAGTACCACCGTTTGTGGTAGTTTGGGAGGCTGTGTCGGTCGATAGTCGCTCTTCGTTGGTGTTTTTGGACCGTGGCATCAAGGTTAATGCAAATATATACCACGAAAAAGTTTTGGAAGGTGGTCTGACCAAATATTTCAGTCCGAAAAAGTGGACGTTTCAAAAGGATTTTGCACCATCACACAAAGCACACGCAAACCAACATTTCGACCGCATAGTTGCCACGGTGACCAGATTCAAATCCGCTCGGCTTCTCGGTTTGGGTCATTTTACAGCACTAAAAAATACCAGAGTGTTAATGTGTTCAATAAAGCCCTTCTTCGTGAATAGAGGAAGATTCCGCAGGTTCACGTTTGTGCAGCGTGTGACTTGTTTGTCGACTAACTCAGAGCTATAGATTGCGTTCAAGGTGGCCATATCGAAAATTTGAAATCAATTAAAAAAATTTAATTGCTATCCAACATTTTTTTCCTTTGGGTCAATAACATCATTTTTTTAATAAAAATACAGCGTTATGAAAAGTTGCAGTTCAACTGGGTCACCCTGTAACTTAATCTTACTAAATACATAATAATGTACATAAAATACATAAATGTTATTGCAATTATTCTTTCGTAAAACGCAAATTTATAAATTCAACAATAATTTTCTCTTTACACAATGATCTAGTGCTTTTTTTTATTATTATTATTATTTTAATCAATGTTTCATAAAAAGCAAATTCATAATATAAGAACTGTTTTTTTTTGCTTATACTAAAATTATAATTGTCCGGACATTCAACATTTGTTAACTAAATGAAATTTAATATGCGTTTTGAGCCTATTGTAGAAATATTGTGTTTAAAAGCGATTCCAACATTTCAAATATTAAAAAAGTGAGGAAATTCATAAATATTATTTTTGTTTGAAAATTAAATTCTTTCAAAAATACACGTTTTAAAAACAATACTGTTTAAATACCTCGGTTCCGTTAATTTTGAAAACTGTTTGAAACCGGACTAATGGGGGACATAGATTTGACTAGATAAAGGAAAAAATATTTCTTAATTTTTTCAATTAAAAATTGAGTATGTTTTGAAATTTTCAAACCGGGTATGAAACCTGATTGATCATATCCGCACTATGCGAGTTATTGCTCTATATTCATATGAAATCGTTAACTCGTAGTAATCTGTAAATTGATTACTAGCTATTAAAAGCTGACATTAGTACTCGTACAGTGTTGGAACTGTGGCCTATATTTAAATTGCATATTATCAACAACAGCACTGATATAAAGTATAATGAATACGATTAACTGAAACATTCGTGCTAGAATCATGGAGTAATTGCAAATTGACGCAGGAATGTTTACGGTCACAAAAAGTGGTGAACGGTGGAAATGTGTCAGGAATACAAGTGCATCTTTACTTCAATTTAAAGGTTTGTAACAATACTTTCTAAACTCACCGATCGAATTCCTGTTAAACATAACTTCCAAAGAATCTTCAAGATCCTTTGCAATCACTTGGTAGCTTATACTAAAAGTTTTCATAGTTCAAAACGTGCACGAGTTTAGACATATCAATACTAGTGATTATAGTTATTTAAAAACAGTATGAAATAAAAAAACACATTCATTATCTCTCATAACCACTGATACCTGATGTATGTATTCGATAATTCACAAATTGAATCAACAAATCCGAATCACTCACCTTGCGGGATGTTGAATAGCAAAAATAGATCCATTTCACATGTGCAAAAAAATATTTGGGAATCACTAATGCTAATAGCGCGAGAGGAATAGATCGGAGATCGGAAAAGAAAGAGAAAAAACTGAATAAAAAAACGCAACCGTAATAGAAATGAAACGATACTTTTGACCTTTAGATAATTTCTTGTAAAATGTGTAAGAAATTTACTAATGCTCTTTGTAAACATTCGTAAGGCGTAAACAGATTTTGTGAGCGCACAGAGAGATCTCGGTCATTCCATAAATATATATTTTTTATGTATATGTGAATTTTCTATTGGATTCTATTGAATTAACAGTTTCCTTTCAGAATTTACGGTCACGAATGCCGGTCCAAATTTCCCGCGTCCGTTTTTCCGCTGATCCAACGGATTAAGAAAATATTTACGTTATTCAATCATTTTAAATAAAATGAAATTGAAAATAGTTTCGCTCAGAAAACAATTGATATTACGTCGATCAAACTCATATGAAAATGTATTTTTTTTGTAGTTGAATATTTGGGAATGACATTAGGTTACCATTAGATAAATGGATTTGGATATAAATGATGATTTTTCTCTGTTATTAATAAACAAGAAATATTAGTCACTACAGTAATCTTCTCGTAGTTCGTTAATCGTTTATCTTTACTAAACGAGATAGTTCTCATTTATATATATACAAAACACAAAAGAAGATAATAGAACTAGAACAACTCAGGATCGTAAATTGCGTATTAGTATTAAAAATATAATCAGGTTTATGCTCATACCTCACGAAGTCCCACGGATTTACATCATTAAGCGAGGTGAAGAAATTGAAAAGCTTTTGACAAACAAAGAACACATTGATTACTAAATGTGAGTCTATAGTATATGCTTTTTTTCTCTTTGATTTAACAATTGCTTATACGGAGTTATTGCTTTTAACACTGAAAAAAATGTTTTCAATGCTTTTTTGTGCTGTTAACATTTCCTCGGCAGAAACTTTTTTACATTGCATAAAGATAGTCCTTTTGATATTCTCTTATTTGTTTTAAATTGCGTTGAAATTGCTTTAAAGCTTCGTTATCAGAGTGAAAAGTTATCCGAGATATGACTATACAGTGGAACCTCGCTTAACGAGTTTAATCCGTTCCAAAATCTCCAGATTTTTACTCGTCATCCTCACTCGTTATGTGAAACGTCGCTCATTTAGCGAGTCATTTTTCTTACAATTGATTTTGCTCAATACTCGTTATGAGACCTGGAATGATGTGAAGTTATAAAGTCTTCGAATAGTAAAAATGTTAATAATAAAAAAAATATACAAGGAAATAATGATTTTACAGAATGAAAAACCACGGTTCAATCAGCAAATTACCGACAATTACAACCTACATGTTTAGTGAACGTTTATGTTGATAATTTATTTTTATATTATCGCGTGTAGATTGTCTTCATCTCATAGATTAGAGTTTTTTTGGTGATTATTTAGCTACCATTTTCATGAATATGTATGAATTTGTAAATGTCTATTAATTATCAGCTTTATTATTTGTAATTTAGAACAGAAATAGCCCTTTACAACTGATTTGAACAAATGACCAAGTTGAGCGGTTGAATGGAAGAAATCGTTGGGGTTTCAAAGATGACGTTTATTAACTACATCTTACATAGGTTACACTATACTTAATACTATTCAATTATTGTCATTTAAACTACTGCTTAACTACTAATCTTCTTCATACTTAACTCCTTCGAGCTAAGCTTCCCCGTTAACTTCACTGTGTACATTGCTGTCACCTTTCACAACCACTGTTGTGCTCAAACAACAACAGTTAATCTTTTTTGTTTTACAATTATTGTTATTGAATGGAAATGTTTATTCTACTTGACTGTTTTTATAAATATTTCTTTTAAAATTTGTATTTGAATTATGCTAAAAATTGAATAAATCAGAGTAATTTAATAAGAAATAATTAGAACAATCTTTATTATCTAATATGCTATATTTATTTAATAATTATAGAAACTGAAAATACTTAAAAATTGCATTACAAAAAAACTTATTTGATTCATAAATAGTTTGATATTAATGTTGTAGTTGAAATAAAAATGGAGTGTTCGATTATTTTTTGACATAATATATACCAGCGTTTCTCAACCTATAGGTATGCTTGTCATTATTAATGATTCGTGAAATGACAGCTGTCAGCAAGGAACTGATGTAATACTCTTAGGTTATATTTTATACATGTACCGTGGAACCTCGCTTAACGAATTTACATTCATCTTTATGGTTTTGTTCACCTTCTTCGGAAATGGGATTTTTAAATTTAGTGATTTAAAATATTCCTGGTAAATTGGTGGAATGGTAGTAAAACCATAAAATCTTTATATTTTTCTTCTGTTATTGGTCTAACCATTCTTTATAATTGAAGCATCCCTTTTTGGATGAAAGATGTAAAATATGGAATCTAATGGGATTTTGTACATCTAATATGGAACTTTTTTTCTTAAATTCAACAACTCTATTGAATTTTCAACCAATAGACAAATACGAATTTTGTTGAAATAACATTGCTCAGCATCATTCGATCATTGGTTAATTACACAAAATCACGATCGTTCGGTCAGTTACTACAAATTCTCAAGAGTGCAAGTGAGTTAGTCCACTTTCAAACATTAACTGAATTATTATATGGAAGTTCTTATGTTTTTTGTTTAATCTTTATCCAACTTCCATAATCTCTTTTAGGTTTATGGACTTTAATAATTTTTTGTTAAAAATGAGCGTCAAATTCATGTAAGAATATAATAAAGTACAGTAAACTTAAGTTCAAGTTTTCCTTTCTTCAATGATGTACAGCTGTTACATTTTAGACATGTTTCTCAAATGACGTACATTGTGACATTTCTGTTAGATTGACAATAGACCAAATTAAGAATCACAAATATACTACTCCTCTCAGGTATATAATAGGTAACCATGATTATGCACTTTGCACTTTGTCAATCGTCAAAACAAAAATCGAACAAAATATGCGTGACTAAGAAATAGATTATTCAAATATGTTAAACTTTCAATGAAATTTTAGTCAAATATTTTAAGAACCAAAATAATCTTCGTTATTATAGAAGTCACGTAAAAACAACAATATCAATAAAAAATTAAAAAAGATCAACTGCCACAAAGAGCTATTAACCATAGGTCTTTCCGCCTCCAAAATAATATGGTATTAAAGTATGCAGTTTAACAATGTATTGATAATGAATTACATAAAGTTTTATAAAAATCTATTTGGACTTTGTCAATGGTGTGTCATGCAAGGCAGCAATTCAATTTCAAATATAGAGAAATGATGTATGGACAAGTTTATCAACAATGCTAGAATATACAATGACCTTGCAGTTGAGTCCGTCGAAGAGGTTATCGAGCAGAAAATAAAGATACGCTTGATTCGCATTAAACTGCATCGGAAGTTAGTCCACTGGACAGAAGCCAAATAAGGCTGGACTTGGAGCAAATATAATCTTTGATTTTTGTAAATCATTTTAATTACACATTTAGATAAATATCGTATTATCGAACAAATTTATTGAAAATTCACTTGGAATACATTGTAAATGAATATTTAAAGAGAGAATGATTGATGCTCTGCGAGTCCACTATTCCCTTTTGTCCATCGACTTGGCTAAAGGTCCATATGCTGAACCTTTTTCATTTGACTGTCCATTCATGTTGAACGATGGCCCTATTGCTGCAAGCACCGAGAGGGCTCACAAAGGACCTGGCTTGACCAGGATCGAACCGGCGCCCACTGAATCGTGGGTAGGACGACTTAACCATTAAGCTAATAGTCGCCCTACATATAAGTTTGAATATGTTTTTATATTTATATATTTGGAACATGGTTATATATAGTATAATTATTATATTATTAGATTAAATAATATATTCGTCCTCTGTTCGTAATGCATCAAATTCGAGACGTGACCATTAACGACTTTAATATACATATTTTGATCTTTTGAACTTGAGTTATTGCTCGTTCACTATAAACGTACTACGAAATAATATGATCCAGTTAATAATTAATATTAATGTAATATATATTATGTTGTGTTAAACATTGTGCTAAATGTTTATTTATATAAGAAACTAATTATTTGTAGATAATTTAATAAAAAATGGATACTACTCAGAAGGCATATTTACATTTAGATTAGATTAATATTTAGTACAAATATTTGCATTTGATAAAATTACATAATTAATTTAAGCGAGCTTTTTGAACTGATTTTTTTATAGTATTTTATAGTATAGAATTGAGTAAAATAAATAAATTCTAAAAAAAAATAGTACAATAGTAATAGTTCCACGATTAGTCCGGTATCTGTTTAGGATGTGAATGGAACAGTTGTTTCATATTTGATCCGTTAACCGTTTGATGATTTATATAACGCGATTCACACAATAACTTTTTTTTTATAGAGGAGAGGAAACCTTAAATAAGGACCACGGGTGGAGCGCACTAAAATCTCGCCTATTCTTCGTCAGCATACAGGACCTGTACTCCTCTGCGATACTGATTGTCCTTGCCTATCTGGCACTTACAATAAGTAAATGTTTTTAGTAAGAAGGATGAACCTGATGCTTTAATAATAAATTATCAACATTTGGCGTCAATTTTGTAAGGTTTAATAACAATTTTATAAACATATATAATATTTGTTTTACTTCATAGGTACTTTTATAAATAATGTATATGTCTTTATATTATAAGATAGTATAATGTAAGTAAATAGGTACTTTCAGTGTATGTTGAGATCCACTATCGTGGACCCCCATTTTCATTTCATGGACCCCCAATTTTTTTTTCGTTCACATAGACCCCTTGCAGGTTGTCATAGACCCCTGGGGGTTGATAAAGGCCTCTTTGGCAATCATTGTACTAAACCATCTGCACTTACGTCAGTACGCGCTGCGCTGCATATCCTAATTGCTCCTCTCCGCTGGACAGTTTCTAGAGCTTTCTTCTAGCTTAGAATTTTTGTTGCTTTTTCCCATATAGGAGCAGCGTACAGCATAATAGATTGTTTGCTTGCTAGACTTCGGTCCACTCTTGTTGAGCATCAACCTGCTTACAGCTGTAGTTGTTTCTGCTGCTCGTATGGCTACTCCCCTGAGGTGCTGCGCGTAGGTCAGTCTGCTGTCAATGGAGTCCTCCAGGTATTTAATGTCTTTCTTAGGTGTTATTTCTGTGTGATCCTTGTAGAAATACTCTATTTATTAGCATTTCTTCTTCGCCTTGGGTGCTCGGGATCTTTATGGAGCTCTAGCTTCTTATAATTGATTAACACAATAACTATACAGTCAGAAAAGAAGCGTTGCCATATAATGTTGATATTATTTTAATCCTGTTAAAGTTATATCATTTTAAATTAGAAAATCATTTAGGGTAAAAACAACAAAATTTATCTAAGAAGCTTTAATCAATTAATAGATTAGATATTAATTGAAGCGTTTTTTTTTTTTAAATTTTTGAATCTATTTTTAGTAACATTTGTTACCATGCTTGATCAATGTACAAAAAAGGAATTATTCAAGAATATAAATTATGAGCATTATTATTCAATGATTGTAATGGTAAGTTCTCTTGGACTGAAATTATTGAGAATTTTTAAGAAGTTTTGTAAAAAAAGACGAAATATTTCCCGAGAAAAAATCGAATAATTTCTACACTCATAACTCGCTACACGGGTTAGGAACTAGAAATCTATTAGATATTTAGATATACAGTAAAAACGCCTGCTATCCTTGTTTCAATTTAACGTGCTTTGGATTGACCATGGTCGCGGCGGTGTTAATGTTTACTTATTTTATAAGTTAAATAATAAAATTATATGTGCAAATTTGTCTTTTAGGACGATTTTGTATATCAATACATGGATATTAAGTTTATAAAGTAAATAAAAGCGTGGTTTGCCTTAGCCGTGTATTTCGAAATACAAGGATAATCCACTGTGTTTTGCTATACATGACAATAGTTTATTGCTTTTACAAATTTTGGACAAATTTTTTTTCGAAATTCAGTAATCTATCTACAAGGACAATAAGCTGTATTTTTCAGGAGGCAACTAAACAATTGGTGCAACCATCCTTCACTTTTTTTTAGACTTTATAAAACTTTATTTGTGTTGCTTAATACATAGATTGGGTAGTAGTTATAAGGGGGTGGCGTATATATGAGCTTTAGCTCATCTAGGATCCTTCACTTTGAGCACTTTGCGCTTATTTCATCCACAAGTACACAAACAGGCACAGTTTACACAGAAACCGGTTCTGATCAAAAAGAGTATACGAACCAAAATCCCGAAGGTAAATAACTGTTTCTCTAAATTTGCAAAAATGAATATTTCTGAAGAAATCATAATACAAATTCCACAGATATTTCAATTGTCGGGATTTTCACAATGTCAGGATTTAAAATATCGGGAATTTTATTGCCGGGATTTAGATATAGACCCATTAGAAACGGTATGTTAAATCTTGTTTGTGGCTTGCATCCTTTGAGACTCCGTCAACAGCTAGTCGTGTTGGTCAATTCTGCTGCTAGTTAGTTTTTACTAATTGTGTACAAAATTTTAAAATTTTATCTAAAGTCAATAGTTGAGCACAGAAATTATTGGGTTATTGGATTGTGCATAAAATTCGTGACGATTTTAGTTAAGTACCATTGTTGATGTCAAAATATATCAGAACCGTTTTTAGAAAAAAGTTTGGATCAAATGATTTGTGTCAGTTGTGTCTTGTTTGCATACTTTTCTATTAGTGGCAAACTAAAAATGTCACTAAAATATGAACTTACAAACTGTTATGATATATACTTTATTTATTATCTTATCTCTGTTTCAGATCATGCGGATATCTTTCCACGTCATTCCGTATTCAATAATATTATTTGGATTCGGAAGTACCATTGAAGTTAACTGGAATTGCTGTTTTCCAAACGTCCACAATAACTATACAAATATAATTTGCACCGAAAAACAAAGTTTCTGCAGCAATTGTGTAGAAAAAGAATCAAAATTAAAATTGTTGAAGCGCATACACATGAACAATTGCGGTATTCGAACGTTGATGTTCAATTTTACTCAATTCGGTCACATCACCAACCTGGACCTTATGAACAACTATATAGAATCCGTTTCAGACGATTCCTTCAAAGGACTCACGAAATTGAGGAGTCTAATGCTATGTTACAATTCCATACGTACTTTGGATGAGAACGCATTTGCTGATTTGGAAAGTTTAATGTATTTGGATTTGAACGAAAACGAGTTGAGGGATTTACCGAAAAACGTATTTCGAAGATTGATTAACTTGACGAACATCAGCATCGCTAACAACGATATATCACATATTCCTAAAAATCTGTTTGGATCGAATCGAAACATGACGATTGTTAATATGCATAATAATAAACGTTTGAGTCAGTTACCGCATTTGTTGTTTGCTAATTTTCTAAAGTTGATTAAGGTCGATGTCAGCAATTGCAATTTGACTTATTTGCCTAAGAATCTGTTCGAAAACTCGACGAAATTGCAGACTATTTATTTGAATCATAATAAACTGTTTAAGCTGACCGGTTTATTCGATAATCTCCGATTGGAAAAGTTGGATTTATCGCACAATGAGTTTGATTTGAGCGAAGCTACGAAACTGTGTGAACTTGCTGATTCTTTAACTTATCTCAATTTGAGTTACAATGTAATCGATGAGTTCTTTTACTGTTCTCGCCATATTGAGCAACTGAATGAGTTTGATTTAAGTAGTAACGGCATAACTTACGTTAAGATAACTCAATATTTCTTGTCGATAATCGGTAAGGTCCATGTGTATCTTGAAGATAATCAGATAACAACCGTAGATTTGCCGAGCGATGTTGAGTACGTGGGAAAACAATTAATTTTATATCTTAAGAGAAACCCTATAATTTGCAACTGCAGAAACTACCAATTATGTCTGTATATTGATAATAAGAGCAACGCAATTGAGATCAGAGCACCGGCGTTGGAAGGTAACAATTTGGAGTACTCTAAAGCAACGAAATGCCCAAAAGTATGCACTTGCAATTACTTTTGTCGAAATAAGGAATACATCGTAGATTGCAGCAACCAATCGCTCACTTTCTATCCAGATTTACTAAACGTATTTGATGAATTCGAGTACGATTCTTCTGTTGTTAAACTGAACGCAAATTCATTAACAGAAGGACCTCCAAGGATGAAAGGATACGAAAACGTCAGTCAACTGGATCTTGCACACAATGTCATAGATCAGCTAGACTGGATTCCTGATAGTTTGAAGGTAATGCGTTTATATTAGGTCAGAAGTTTTTAACCTTTTAGTAGTCGCAGTACTGTAATAATGAAAAGTAAAAGACTTATGTCTTCACTAATATGTCTATTCGCACTTTAATTGCGTTACTCAATGCTATTCGCATACAAGAGTCTATTCGAAGTTAATTATGTATGATTTCGGTTATCGTTTCTAAACATGTAGCAAGTTCTTTTGATTCATCGTCTTCAGAATCACTATTTTCACATTCTTCATTTCCTTGTTTTGCCAGTTCTTCAGGCCCTCGCCAGAAACATGCAGTAACTCCTTAATATCCTGCTCATCTACATCTCTAATAAGCATAGATTCTGGGGAAGCACTGCGCTACGTGTTCGGGAATAGTAGTATTATATACGAATCAATGAAATTCCGCGATATTTTGAATCCGGGTAAATTTTGATCATACCGCGTTATAGCAAATCAGCGTTAATTGAGGCAGCGCTAAAGGAGGTCTTACTGTAGTTTTGTTTTAATATTGACCGTTATGAAAAATCCCTTTTCGTACAGTTATGGTAGTAAATGCATTAAAACAGGTGTGAATATTCCTTCCGAATATGTATTCAAAATTGTACCAATTTTTGTTTTTGAAAAGCGAATTCAAACTGCAGTCCTTTGTTATTTTAAGCAGAGTGACATTGTGGGTTATAATAAATATATATTATCATAGTTATTATAAGGAAAATTCACAATTTTCTGCTATCAAGTTCATTATTTGGAAAATATTTGTCAATTTCTTCAATTAATTTTTAGAGATGACATTCAATTAAATAATTATTTTTTATGTTTTTAATCAAATTCACAATTATCTGCAATCATTTGAGAATAATTTGGAAACATTCGATTCTATTCTTCGAATCCCATTTATGAAGAAGTTTCAATTTCATCGCCTCTATTTTATCTCGCATGGCAAACATGTTGTGTTGATTTCCACAGCATCCATTTTTTGTCATCGACATTAATGGCCAAATTTGAATTTATTGTTATTTTGATTCATAAAGATATGAAAACTTAAAAAAAATCGGTCCCCCTAAATACTCTTAAGTATTAGGTCATTAGGTATGAAATGTCTCATTACCGAAGTATCAATTTTAACAGTTCTTTTTTTGTAAAAACACTTCATCAGCTTTTCAAAAACACGCTTTGATTTGTTAACTCAAAAATTCGCGATATTTTCGAATGAGTTCCATTGTGGAACTCAAAGAGTCAATGAAGTGTTAAGCAAAGATGTGGCTAATGTATGTACAGTGGTTTGAGAAATTTTGATCTGGCTATTTTGATCTTCAAAATAAATCATGTTGTGACCTGATAGCAAGATGGATAATGATGAATGGAAGTAGATAGACGATTTAACGAATGTCAGAAAAAAAATCGTTTTGAAGCTTATTTTTCTATATATAGATAATGATTGAACCAAAACACACTTTGAAACCAAAAAAGCTTATATTATCTGTTCAGCACTGGTGTTTTCCACGTTATCTTCATGACACCTTGTCAATCGAATACTGTAACCAAATAGACGAAATGATGAGGGAGCTTGGGATTAAGTAGCCAATATTGGTGAAGACAGATAGTCAAACCTCATACAGGACAATTCATACAAACAAATCATATGTTATACGAATAACGTTGCTTAAAATGCAAGAGCTTGGAACCACACTGTATTCCTTAGACCAGGGAACACATTTTGTAGGATAGTTTACAACACATAATAAAAAAAAAAAAAAAAATGAGAAAAAACATTAGTTATTTATTTAGTAATTATTTCGTTCCAGGTTTTCGTGGAACTGCAATTGCTTTCACACATTGAACCGCTTCTTATAGGAAAACTATTTAATTCCCAACAAGTTGTAAAAACGTGTTTCACAATTTTATAATCACTCGCTCTTCAAGCTTTTTCGCTGTCGGTATTAACAAGCTACCATTAAGATGACAGAACTGTATTGATAGTTTAGCACATTGGTTAATTATACTATATCTTGTTTGAGATATAATACACCAAACTTTCAGTTTGAAATCAATCGTTTCATAATTAATGACCGTTAATCTTGTCTTTAAATTTCTGTTTAAGATGTTAAATTTGGTTCATAACAATATGACGTCGATGGATACAAACATCATCACAAGGATGGATGGAATCAACGTTTCGCTTCACGATAATCCTTGGAACTGCGTCTGCGATATGTCAAGTTTCATCAAATTCGTGAAAGAAAGAAATATGGAAAATAAGGTATTAAACATGCTTACAATAAAAGAAAACATAAACTAAGTATCTGTTTTTTTAGGACAAAATTACTTGCGTTCAGAATAATTCTCTTGTAATTTTAATTGAAATCAGTGATATCTGCTCTCCGGATAGCAACAATTATTACATGACGTTCTTGCTAGTAATATTGCCGATTACATTCATTGTCTTGGTAATTTATATAAAGTACAAAAAGATCATTCGCATAGGGATGCATAGGGAGGAATGCATTTCTGATATTAATCTGAATTATGAGTTGACCTACGATGCGTTCATCAGTTATTCGCACGAGGACGAAAATTTCGTTTTGAAAGAACTCGTACCTAAATTGGAGAACATTTCAAATCCGTACAAATTGTGCATTCATCAAAGAGATTGGCTTGCAGGAGATTGGATCGTTGAGCAGGTTACGAGAAGCGTGGAGGATTCTCGAAAGACCATCATCGTTCTATCGCCTAGTTTCTTGGACAGCAATTGGGGTATACTAGAGTTTAATCTCGCTTATTCTTTAGCTCTGAAGGAGGGAAGCAATCGGATTATTGTTATCCTGTACAAAGAAATCGATATGAATTCCAATATTGATAAGGCCATTTTGGAGTATCTTCAAAAGAAAACTTACATAAAATGGGGAGAAGAGTGGTTCTGGGATATCTTGGAGCATGCGTTATCCCGTAATTAGTATAAAGCAAAACCTCGCACAGTTCGGGTATTGACGGAATCGATTGTCAAAATCCCGGACTGTTTGAAACCGAACTAATCGAGAAAGTAAATGCATACATATATCGAGATTTTACTGTAGAAAGGGAAATAAATGTGATACAGTTTTTAGAATTTTGCTCAAATAAAACTTAGTTTGGGAATCCCCACTATTCAAAGCCATACAATACGATGTATTGCTGTATTTGAATAATTTGTAAATAATTCATCCTTATATTACATAGGATTATCAGTATTAAATCATGTTCCATTTTATATTTAAAATATAATGATTATAAAATAATAATACAAAATACCTACTGTAAATTTTTTTTTTTATTTAAATCAATTTATTTCTATATAATTAATTTTTAGTATACAATATTTTTTTATGTAATAATATTCAAAATATAAGCTTTTCTTGAATGTTGACAATTCACTGATTCTATAGATATTTGAAGAAATAGCCATACTTTAAAAATATGTTTGTTTTAAATTGATTCTCGATGGCTTTATAACTATGATTATATGATATTTTATCTTTCGGTGATAATCGAAATCCCGACAACCGAAATCCCGTCTATGAAAATCCCGACTGTATCAAAATCCCAACTATATCGAAAATTTCTACAATAACATTTTAAAATTATTCCGGAGCGTAGTCACTTTTAAATTGTTATTAATAATAAATAACAACCATTAATAATCTAATTGTATTTGAGATTATTTCATATTGTTAAGGTTTATTATGAATAATTGAACTAAATTAAATAAATTAATAACAATTTATTGTTATTGTAGAAATTTTCGATATAGTCGGGATTTTGATACAGTCGGGATTTTGATATAGTCGGGATTATGATTGTCGGGATTCTGATACAGTCGGGATTTCGATTGACGGTATTTCGGTTCTCGGGATTTCGATATAGACCTTTTATCTTTGTATAGACACCTTCTGGTTACAATGGTTACTATATATTATATTGCGATTGTAATGAAAACAAAAAATAAATGTTGTTTATAGGAACTTTAAAGAGTTACAGTAAATAGTTTTACATACGTCCTTACTCCCTCTCTGTTCAAAAACATGTGTCCAATTTTAGTTATAATGGATTATTAAAATAATAAAATTAAATGTATCAGTCGTTATATACTTAAATTAAGCATAGAAAAAATGACTCTCGTAGCCGCCCGATGTTTCACATTTCTCAAAATAGTATTTGTAGTGAACAGGTAACAATTTGTAACAATTGTTAGTTTTGTTTTTTTGCCCGCTGAAAATTTGTTTAATGTTAATTATTTCTATCGTCATTGCAAAAACTACGCCAATCCAATCCAGCAGGATAATGATAAACCACATTGTAGTGTTGATGATGAGGAAGTTGTTCGCGCTGGTGAAAATGGGTGAAATATAAGAATGATTTATCAACCACCAAACGTTCTCGATTTGTGTTTATTTAACCCCATTCAAACATTACAACACAAATAGTATTGATGAACTCATTGCGACCGTGTATAAAGCGTGGGACGAAATAACCGCGAAAAAACTTGACAATGTTTTCATTATATTGCAGAACTGTATGGAATTGACCATGCTTCATAAATGAGGAAACGATTACAAGCTTCCTCATATGAGCAAGGACTCTCTTCGTTTGCAGGGATCATTGTTGGCACGTCAGGAACTTGACCGTTTATATTTACTAATTTGTTAAATGTAACTTATAAGTGTTAATTTTCAAATGTTTTCCATTTTATATTATAGTTTAGTTGTGAAAATACACGTTAAATATACTTTTGCATATTTTTTTATGAAATTGGACTAAATTTCCTAAATCGGACTGGTTATCATTAATTTTTTGATGCAATTTTGATAAAAAAAAAACAAAAATAGATCTCAAATTGCAATTATTAAATGATAAATCCATGCATATATTCATAATATATGCCTGAAAGCGACACTCTTGGTAAAAGCAAATTGCAATTTTAATCACTAGATTTTGAAAGGAAATGTAAGTATTTAAATGCAACACTAGATAAAAGAATATCCGCTTCGGAAAACAGAATTGAAAGTTATACAAAGTCAGTTTTAATTTTATGCGTATATGAAGATATAAATAAGTTTGGAAATTACATTTTTTAATAATGATAATATTGATTTTTATATTGATTGAATCGAATTTTACAAAGCTTTAAATTGTTATAATAAAATGCATGTTGCTTCCAAAAAATACAAAAACTGATTCTAGGTGGAATTTCCAAATTTAACCAAAACTTAAGGTATATTAATTATTAATACCTGTTGAATGTGCTGAAAGATTTATTTCTAAATTAAAATTAATTGAAAATCACTGTTAAACAATTTTTGTTAACAACAGATTTTGCTTGTTAAATAATTGTAGAAATGTATCATATTTGTTTAAAATATAATTTGTGAATGTTATTTATTATATTACATAGAAAAAATTTATAACAGTTACAAAAAAATCTCTAAGATTAACATTTTCGTTAGTCAGTAAAAGCTAGTAAAACATTAACAAAAATCTCCTAAAGGTAAAAAGGATCTACAGCTGATATCCTACACTAAGAAAGTCGTCTTAGTTTTACTATATGAATTATATACATTTTTAATTTATTGTATACTCAAAAGATGACGAAAATTGAGAAGCTTCCATTGTCTTACATATTTGTACGCATTTGTGTAGACTTATAAGCATCTCAAGATAAGTTTAGTTGCAATATAGTCCATATTCAAATGCATTGTGAACTACAAATATGATTCAATGTGTTTTACCATTTAAATCGAATCTCATGGTAGCCATGATATGCAACAAAAGTTGCCTAAAATAACATTTTGAAATATGTTAATTGCAAAAGAGGATTAGACCACTCAATACAACCGCAGCTCCCTAAACACAAATATCAATCTACATTATCCATCCGAGGTCTCTCCTAACACCTTTGTACTGAATCGCGGAGATCCCGATTCGAAAGTTGTTATTTAGTGTTGTCGTCCCACATGTTTTTCCCCCTGACCCCAGTAACTTAGATCAGTTTAGTTATATCTTCAAAAAATAAAAACTGTAGCTGGCGAAATTGTGCAAGATTCACAAGCTAAGTGAAGTGTGGAGAGGAAAAGAAGAAGAATAAGAAGAAAAAGAGGATACAATTTTGTGGGACACTTTAAACCATTTTCCAAACTGTGAGGCGCGGACAAGTCTAAGGGGAGGCGCGAATATTAATCATAGTGAGTAATTTTCCAAATTACTTCTAAAGTTTTATCTATTTTATGAGATGGGGGGAAGGGCATTAAACCATTATACAAATATATAAGATAATTCAATAAGACTTCACTTTTACACAATGACTAAAACTATAAATGGTATTGTTTCACAACTTATTGAGTAATAATCGAATTGAAGTAACTATTATAATTATTTTATTATATCTTTTTGTTTACATATAATTATTGGTAATCATCCAATGTATTTTTTGTTATATCTTATTTCCCTCTAGGAGGAGCTTTTGTAATTTAGCTATAGAGTAGAACCTCGCTTAACGAGCACCTCTCATAACGAGAATTTCGCTTAACGAGCAAAATGATTTGTAAGAAAAATGACTCGCTTAACGAGCTAAGTTTCGCATAACGAGTGACGATAAGAAGAGAAGTCCCGGATTTCGCGTGTGCTACATCATTTTTAAAATTTGCGTACACAAATTTTGCGAATTTTTTAATATATTTCACTATAAGAGTATTTCATTGTACGAGAAAAAATCCGGAAATTTTTGAACGGATTTAACTCGTTAAGCGAGGTTCCACTATATACTAAAAAATTGTTTGTATCATTACAAATTGGTGCATTGAGATTGAAAAATTAAAGTTGTAATGTTTTAACTACAGGGTTACCAATTACAGCCAATTTGAGATGCTTTGATCTTAGACAACATACTTTAAAATCAAAATGAGAATATACAGTTGCATAACTTATGTATGAAAATATATTTTATCTAACCTTGGATATAAATTCAAAAAAATACAAAATTTGATAAAACTTACTTAATTTATTATAAATGTTTATTTATTGATATTTTTATGTTGAATAAGATTGTTGTTTCTGGTTCCTATTTTAATAGAATAGATCTTCAATTTTCGTCATTAACCCGATCCTGAGGAGAGGACGAATATTAAAAAAAGACGAATATCAAACATTTTTTCCTATAAGAATTAACACACACCCTTCGAAACTGAGCCGGTCAACAGACGAACATTAAAGTATCAGTATAAAACTGCGTTACAGCAGATTTTGGTTAAATTATTATTTTTAGGTTAGGTTGACGCGTTTTCACCTTAGAATAGGTTATGTTTACTTATGTTTTAACATAATGATATTTTATTGAGATTAAGTAAATAATATTTGTTTATACCACATCAAAGTCTTTGTGTCAATAAATGATTTTTTTTATGAGTTTTTATATATTTTAATATTACTAATTGTGAATATATACATATTTAGGTTAAAGCTGTAAAATTATAGTTTTTATGTAAAACTAAAATGCCATTTTCAGAAGACAAAAATGATCAAAATAAAAGTTCTATTATCTACTGAATCTTGGGAAAGATACTGCATATTATCATGGATAGAATATATTCAAATTCAAATATATAGGCCACCCACTATGTCATGCGCCAATATTTCCTTTTATGAATTAAATTCACGAAATGGCGGATCATGAAATACGCAAGTAATTATGATCAAACTTCCATTAAATTGGGATTTACCGTAATCCGTAAGATTACAAACTGATTATAATTTGATAATGAATAGCGTTTACATTTTCTGTAAAAATCAAAGAACCCACGCTTAAAAAAAACTACCTGTCACGTCGTTAGACAAGTTGTACAACTTGTTTGGAAAGTTGCAACGAACCTCGCGTTCAAAAGTCCACCCGTTTTGGCGGTTTCCACGAAGTGATTTCCATTTACCCAAGCGTGACGCATCCGATCATTTTATCTGAATCTGTTGTAGCCGTCGCCGCAGCGCTACTGCACGTAGTGGGGAATTAAAACGTCGCTCGTACAACCTATAGAGACGATCGCAATATCAGGTTTTTAGTCTTGAGTGGAATGTGCGATGTGATCCCTGTGTTGTTGAAGTTGATCGAAAGAACGAAACAAAGACGCGCGCCTCATAAGTGATACGCCTACCTGATGTGAACCATATCGTAACAGAACTCATATAAGTGCAGAGATGATAATAGTTCATCTATTATCATCACTATACAGAGGGAATACGTAAATTGCGGATCAATAGTGCTATTGCTGAATAGCGGTCAACTTGCGAGGAGTGGCAAAAGCAGTACGCTTGAGAAAGAAAGAGAAAAGTAAGCATATTATATTTTTGTTGTTGACGACCTACTGATGCGTAATCTATAGTACATCAACTGACTTTAAATACTTAGTACCTAGAATTCAATTGAGTGATGTAAACAATTAGATCAAACCGAATTTTCTCATTCGTCTATTTTTTGCGTCTTACATAATCAGCCTTCGCAATTCTCGTGAATTATCGAAGAGAAATTCTTGCGAAATTTTAGCACGTGTTAAAAGCAAAAAAAAAATGTTTCTCTAAGACATTGTTTACAAATAATTTGATCGGATTGAGGTGTTTACTCACTGAAATCGAATGCAGATAAACTGTATTTGTGATAACAGAAAATCCCGTTCTTTATGAATCGATGATTATTGTTTGGTTTTTGTCAGGTTTATAAGGTCAATTTGAGAATTGACGAAAAACAAGATATAGAATTCCGCGAATCGTTTATTCTGAGTTCAGTAACGCAGATCTGGCGTGTTAGGCTGAGCAGCAGAGAAAAAAAAAATACAACTGGCCTGAATCGAGTCTAAAGATCACCGGTTCAGAGTTGTTCAATTTATAACAAATTGCTGTATGTTTTATCTGCAAATCCAAATAAATTTATTGATAGCATCTATTTGATTGATGTATTCTAATTGCATGGTTAACTATATTTTTATGATATTTCATTATAACATGTTTACTGACAATATTGTACATTTATGGATGGTAGTTAATACTTATTGAAGTTGAACACTGCTTATTCTCATCGAGATACCATTAATTTTTTGTATATGGCAATACCTTGTTTAGTGGGGTTTCGTCAATAGTAATCAACAGCGTAAAAAGAGACTTGACTGTTTAGAGGAAACGATCAATTATGTATATACAAAATAATTTTGTAAAAAGTGATGGAAGTTGCACTAAGAGAGGTATTACTCTATTATTGTTTTAGAAATTTTAGATTTTCAAAGCTTATATTGTGAAGTCATTTTAATCTTTACTTCAAATGACTTCTTATAATTCACAATTGTTTGTACATAAGTATTACAAGATATTTGTTAATTAGGTTATAATTAATGTATATCTTAACAAAATGAAGTTACAAAAGAACGTTACAATGTTAACATATGGCCTAGAAATATTTAAAAACATACTTGTGGTTGTCAACTATCTCATTTTTATAGTGCGATCATTCTTTGGAATTTGGATTTCAAATAAAATTATTAATAGTATTTGTATAATCAGTATAGATTCAATGTTGGCAACCTTATGTACACTTGTTTCATCGAGTACTAAATGAAAGCGATTAGAAAGTTGTTCTTGTAGAAATAGGATAAAATCTTCCTATTATTTCCTATATATTTGAAAGTTAATCTTTGTTTGTGTAATTTGTATTATTATGTCCATGTGATGGAATTTCTGAATACAGTGGAATATTGTCTTTATTATTAAAACGTAATATTTTACTTTTTGGGATCTTCCTGAGACCATATAGTTACTTTAACATTTTAACTGAGACTAAGTTCATAATACGATTCCGTTTATTTGGGACACCGATTAATCTGAACAGCCGCATATTAGGGACAAATCCTAAAGAACGGAAACAGAATCGAGCAAATAATCGGGATGTCCCGATAAAGCGGAATCGACAGTATAAGATTTTGACTGTGGGAGTTCTGATTAGTAGTACGACATTTAATTATATTTATTATGAGCTCGGTTCAAATCTCTTATATTTGTTGAAATGAACAAGTGTATCCAAGTAGGATTCTTCGTTAATATCAAGTGCAATTTGTTTATATAAAAAGGCATAATGACTAAGAGACTTTATGGAGGTCTCTTATACATAGTTTGTTTACATACTCTAATAATGGTTTGACATAACAATATGGCTGTAGTCTGATAGTTTAGAAGAGTAGTATCGTTTAAAGATTTTATGTTGGTAAACTTAGTGTATCGAAGTTATAACTAAGTACAGTCATTACCTATGATAACGATGCTTTGATGTAATGAAATACGCAATTTCATGCAAAATATGGCAAATAAGAAACAAATAAGATCGAAAAAATAGAAATGAAACTATCCAGATGACTCAATCAAATTAAGGTTTATAAAATGACGATGAAGATGATGTTATAATTCTATTGGATGTAGAAGATGATGGTTTTCCAACAGAACATTTTGACAACATTTGTTAGAAACGAAGACAAATAAAATGAAGACGAAATTAACGAAGTGCTTAAGATTTAGAAAAGTGCTTAAATAATATTTTTTTAGTGAAAATAATCCTAATTTCAAGAAGTGTTGTTGTTTAGCAGAAAACAACCTACTTTAGACTCAGAATTTTAGACTCAGTGAGTTTAGTTTTTATGTAAATTTAATGTTTTTTTAATAAAACATATTTTGTTGACCATAGTATTTTACCTCTGAAAACTATGTTTGATTAACGAAGTATTAGTGTATATATAATTGAAATTTAAACCCATATTGTATAAGTACAGTAAGACCTCGTTTTGCGCTTTAGATGCATTCCTGAAGACACGTAGGAAATAGGGAAATGGGAACACGGACCAAAAATAAACAAATTTTGCTTTAATTTTAAGTTGTAATTTGCATTATAATATATGTTTTATATAACACAAACATTTGCACACATAAATATTAAGTTTATTTTTGTGATGAAGGTCCTGGATGTTCCTATATTTTTGATTTTTGGTGATGAAATCATCTAGATTCTAGAAGATCGTTCACTACAATTTGCTCAAAGATTTTGGTTATAATTTTTTGGACAATCTTAAAAGAGACACTTTTTTTATTCCCAAAATTTCAAATCACATATATCAATTCAATCAATATAACAATTAAAACACAAAAACTACTTTGATCGCGAACACAAGAGAAAAAAAGAGGGCGAACATTATTGTCCATGCTAACGTGATTATGCCAGAGAGTGAGCACCACTGTTTATAAACTTTTTCTAAAAAAATATGTAGTTCTTTTGGTTCATCGTCTTTAGAATCACTATTTTCGAGTTCTTCAATTCCTTCGCCAGAATTACTAACTCCTTAATATCCTGCTCATTTACATCCCAATCAAGCATAGATTCTTAGGAAACATAGCGCTACGTGTTCTGGAATAATTCGTATTATATACGAATTAGTGAAATGCCCCCATAATTAGAATCCAGTTAAATTTTGAACTTTTTTAAGGTTTCCAGCAAACCGCGGTATAGTAAATCAGCGTTAAACGAGGCAGTAACGATGTTTCACTCTATAAGATATTAGTTATATGAACTGTAATCAAGAAAATGTTTTTAACTGCGTATTAATATTATATAATATAAGGTTATTACTAAGTCTAATATAATTCGATTATGGAACTAAGATCATATGAGTTATTGACAAAATGTGAAGCAATGTTTGTTCAATTAATTATTCCTATTTATTTATTAAACATATGTCTCAATCAAAATTTAAACACCAAATTGTATCCTTCGAATTTTTAACAAAATTACGGATATTTGATAATAATGTTACTTGGACCAAGTAAACATTGGGTTAGTGAATTCCTATATATTTTTCCAAATCCGCCTCTATGCCGTCGGTTGGGAAATACTGATATTTACAAGAATATAATTTTAAGCATTTAAGTTTTATAAAGTTTTTTTTACTTGAATTCATCCATGCTAGTCC